AAGCTCTTAAAATGCCTATAACAAGATCTCAAACAAAGAACTTCCAAACGTACTTAGTGATGCCACGTAATTGGAGCATCAGAATCGGTCAATTGAGCGACGATTTACATGAAAAACTAGCATTCCACCTTAATCTTGTCAAAGTAGAAACAAGTGAGAGTTGATGAGCTTTATTGAACCAGAACATTCGAGTTACATATAATGAAGTAGCAAAAGAGCATAAAAGAATAACTTCCAAAAGTCTAATGTGATCTTTTCTTCCAATTATAATGAAGAGTGGTCCAAAACATGCAGCATCATCCTAGGTATCAAGAGTGCCAGAGCCTTTAGTAAATACCTAGGGTTCCCCATCTTCCATAAAAGGCCTACCAATAGTGACTTCCAATTCATCCTTGATAACTTTAACAATAGGATGGCAGGTTGGAAAACCAAGTTCCTTAACATGGCTGGGCGCACCACATTAGCCAAATCATGCCTAAATAGTATCCCCAGCCATGTGATGCAATACATCCAATTGCCTTCTCATGTTACTAACCAAATTGACAGAATCCAAAAAAACTTTATCTCGAGAACAATCCATGCCAAAAGAAAGCTCCACATGGTTAAGTGGGCCACTGTCACCAAGCCAAAGAACAGGGGGGCATAGGCCTTCAACATGCCCACCTAAAAAACAAGACTTGCCATACCAGCCTAGCTTGGAGACTCTATAATAACACAAACTCCATCTGGGCTAGGGTGCTCACGGGAAAGCACAGTAGAATGAGAAATAGGGCTAAGGCAAAAACAAGAACTTGGCAGTGTGTCCAGGAGGTCTGGAAGATATGCATAAAAGGCTCTGGGTGGGTGGTTCACAAAGGGGATAGGGTTAGATTTCTTAGAGACACATGGCTACCTAACATGCAACCACTAGATACAATCCTTAGAGGTACATAGTAACAGAATGACATGAACACCAAGATAAATGCAATGTACTCTATTGGGGTTTGGGATTTCACCTCCATCCACTACCCAACCCTCATGACATCAACATCATAATCCAAAACACCTTCATCCCCAACTCTACCATAGCTGAGGACAAGTTCATCTGGAACCTTAGCTCCAATGGGCTATTTAGTGCTAAATCTGCCTACTCTTTTATAGATGCACACATGCACAATGACACTACACAAGAAGATCACTCCAGTTGGATCTGGAAACTAAAGACCCCTAATAAGATTAAGTTCTTTATCTGGCTCATGCAGCAGATTATGCTGCCTACAGGGAACCACTTATACCACATAGGCCTGAGAATCAATCCTAACTACTATTACTGTGGTTCTGGAGTAGAAGACATAAATCATATCTTTTTTGAATGCACAAATGCAAAAGAGTTCTGGCAGCAATTGGTGCATCTGTGCAACCATAGGCCAAACCTTAATGTACCACCCTTTTCAATGGCTAACTGGGAAGACACATGACATAAGCTTCAAAATGTTGATTTCACTGCTTGTATCAGTTGGATACAACTACTGCCTTTCTGCCTATGGGCCATTTGGCTAACCAGAAACTCTAATGTTTTTGATAAGAAGAAGAATCACATTAATGTCAACCAAACCATTGCTAAAGCAATTGAATACCATCATGTAGCTGCCTCATATAGACTTGCCACAAACACTAGGATATTATACCTAAAGTGCCAACCATTAGGCAGGGTTTTTTTATAAGTTGAACACTGATGGGGTTGCATGCATAAATACAGGAAAATGGGGTATTGGGGGGAGGGGGGGATTCAGAAACAACAGAGGTGACTGGGTTTTAGGCTTCATGAAGGGCCTCCCAAACACTGATAGTCTAAGGGAAGAATTTCATACCCTATGGATGGGCCTTAAAGTAGTAGCCCTCGAACAAGGCTTATCACCCCTTGTGATAGACACTGACTCTGAAATGGTGCTGAAAATATTGAAACATAGTAATTTGACTCATAATCCCATAATCTCTGAATGCAGGTATCTGATGGAGTAACTAGGGAACCCAGTAATAGGCCATAGCTATAGGGAGCAGAACCAAGTGGCGGACCTCATCGCAAAGGAAGGAGCTAAGAAGGAAGTTTTTGATAGGACCTAATTTTTGGCAGTTCCTCCGGTGTTTGCAAATGATGTCGTGTGGACAGACATCTTAGGAACTTTATTTAAAAGGAAGACTAATATTTGTAATATTAACACAATGCTAGAC